CACCCCACATCCCACCCCTCGTCCCACCCCACATCCCACCCCATGACCACCAGACACGTTCCTCCAGCTCTGATCTGGGGGGTTTATTGGCCCCCCCCGGCCCTGCCACCACCCCTGGGGGGGCTCCTGTGGCCGGGGGTCTCACATCCGCCCCATTCCCGGCTGCTCCGCTCCAGCTGCTGGCTCTGAGCCCTAAGGGTGGCAGAGAGGTCGGGCAGGGAGCGGCTGATGAGGCTCTGGGGGGTCTCCTCCTGCCCGGAGGCCCCGTTACCGGGAGGACAACATCATGACGAACTCTGCGGGGCGAGGAGGGGGGCGTGAGGGGAGGGGACCCCACCTCGGCCCCGGGGGAGGGGCGGGGGGGTTCCCTCACCGTCGAAGTCCACGTGCCCGTCCCCGTTGAGGTCCACGTCCTGCAGGATCTCGTCCACCTCCTGCGCCTTGAGCTGCTCCCCCAGCAGGGCCGCGATGGCCTCGCGCATCTCGGCCGTGCTGATCTCCCCGTCCCCGTTCATGTCAAACTGCGGGCTCGGGGTCACCTCCGGCCACGGCCACCCCCAGCCTCCCGGGGCCACCGTCCCCTCTTGGGGGTGCTTGGGGTCACCCCCGTGGCCGTTGTTCCCTCCCATGCCTTTGGTCACCCCGTGGTCATTGTCCCCACTGTGGTCTTCCCGTGGTCACTGTCCCCTCCCATGCTTGTGGTCACTCCTATGGTCACTGTTCCCTCTCTGCCTGTGGTCACTGTCACCCTCCGTGTCTTTGGTCACCCCTCACGGTCACCATTCCCCTGTGGTTGTGGTCTCCACGTGGTCTTCCTGTGGTCCCTGTCCCTTCCATGCCTGTGGTCATCCCCATGGTCACCATCCCCTCGCTGTCACCATCACCTCATGGTCTCCCCGTGGTCACTGTCCCCTCCATGCCTGTGACCCCTGGGTCACTATCCCCCCATGGTCATGCTCTCCCCATGATCTCTGTCCCCTCCCTGCCTGTGGTCACTCCCATGGTCACCATCCCTCCATGGCCACCATCCCCCAGTGATCTTCTCATGGTAAGTGTCCCCTCCATGTTGTTGGTCACCCCCATTGTCACCATCCCCCCATGGTCACCATCACCCCAAGAGCTTCCCATGGTCACTGTCCCCTCCATCCTGTGATCTTTCCCATGGTCACTGTCTGCCCACGATCAGGGTCTCCCCACGGTCTTCCCATGGTCACTGTCCCCTCTTTACCCTCATGGTCACCATCTCCCCATGGTCACTGTCCCCTCCCATGCCTGTGGTCACCCCAAGGTCACTGCCCCCACCATGGTCTCCCCATGGTCACTGTCCCCTCCAATGCCTGTGGTCACCCCAAGGTCACTGCCCCCACCATGGTCTCCCCATGGTCACTGTCCCCTCCATGCCTGTGGTCACCCCACGG